AGATTATGAATGGGCTCTCATCCGTGTTGCTCGTATTTTTAAGGAGATTTCAAAGCCTCAGGTTATTATAAGTGATCGATATCAGGCATTAATGCATGCTATACGAATTATCTTTCCTGAATCACAAAACTTTTTATGTGTCTGGCATATTGAAAAAAACATATTGACCAATTGTCGTAATCAGTTCCCTACGGACGAAGAATGGATTGAATTTTTGGGCAACTGGATTACTGTAATAAAATCTAAAACAGAGGAAGATTTTAATAAACAATAGGAAGAATTGGCAAAAAAATATAATAAGAATTCATCAATTGTTAAGTATCTGCAGGACACATAGTTACCATTAAAAAAACATTTTGTGAATCTTTGGACAGATCGTTACTTGTATTTGGGTAATGTAACCACATCATGGATAGAAGAGTCCCACTCAATGCTAAAAAAGTATCTTCAAGTGTCGACAAGTGATTTTCATGTTGTTCATGAAAGAATCTCTTTAGCATTGGAAAATCAACACTGGGAAATTCAAACTATGATTTCTCAAGAGATGATTCGAATTCCTCATGCTTAAGCTAAACCATTATACTCACAGGTCATTACCAAAGTTTCTATATTCGCATTGAAAAAAGTGCATAAGCAATTATTAAAAGTATCCTGTGCAACTTTAGAAAACCCATTACAACCTTGTAGTGGTACCTTCACATCATCAATGGGTCTTCCTTATATTCACAAAATTCAGGAACGTCTTATTAATAATCAATATTTGCAACTTACCAATTTTCATCAACATTGGTGGCTTCAAGAATGTCAATTGCTTCCACAAATACCAAATAAAACTGAAGATCCCTTACAACAACAGTGGCAAGAATATGAGCAGATATTTGATACTTGGCCAATTAATTAACAATTAGCAGCTCTAGATAAAATGTCAAATTTATTTGAAGAGCCAGCTATAGTAATTCAAAATCCGCAGGTGCAATAAACAAGGGGACGTCCAATTGGAGCAAGAAATAGAATTCGATCATCTATACAAAGAGATCTATCTGCCTTTGAATTTGTTAAATCAGAAAAACGTAACAAGAAATGTGGTTTATATCAAAGAATTGGACACAATAGTAGAACATGTTCTAGTAATGGAAAATAAAAAAAGACATAAAAATTCGTATATAGCTAAAGTTGTAATTAGTCTCAATTGATTCTAAAGGAATTACTAGTTTTCAAGATAAATTTTTTATTATGGATTATATTTACAGTAATTTTTACTTATTGAAGATAATGAAAA